GGTGCTTAGTTGCTGGCTGGGGCTAAACCACGACACTAAGTATAGTAGCTGATTTAGCAGCTATATAACCATAGGGTGAATCAGATAAGTAGATGCTCTGATGCAAGGAAGACCATGGAAACTGAATGGCAGGGACTAAATATGGATCTTTGTGGCACTAACCAAGGGATCAGATTAGACATACAATAAGACTATCCTAATTCTACAACATATTCACCCTCCTTCCTTTTACTCCATAAAGATTTGTGAAAAGTCTTTAAAGATCGAAAGTATTCTACAGAACATTCCAAGTCCTCCCTTCGCTAAAGCTTCTCTTCAAGGGAGCTATTAGTCTTTGATTTTATAACATTACCTATCCATAAGTTAAAAACTGCAATTATATACATTATTGTAGCAGACACATGGGACTGTACATTTCTTTGGAAGAAGCGTTATCAAAAGAAGAAAAATAATCCTAAAAATTACAAGACTGTGAGAGTCTGATAAGTTAAAAAAAAAGACCTATTTCAAGTTTCCAAATAATAACATTTCTTTTAAGTATGCAAAATGGTAATCTGTATTTTTGCTTTTAACATAGGGTTAATTCAAAGCATACAAAATTTTGAATTCAGTTATAAATTAAAAACGTTTAGCCTTTCAGTACCTTAAACAAATACTGAAGATAAATAATGAATACAGCAAATGCACCGCAAGTGGTCCAGCTAACCAAAGCAAGGGATAACACCCTGCAGAGTCTTCTGGGTGTAATCAACTTATCTTTTTGAAGTACAGTAGGTCTAAAAAAAACCAAAGAAACAAAAAACTGCTGTTATACTTTTGTATAACATCCGACCTACAAAGATCAAAGAATAATTCTGTTTCATGAATGACTGAAAAGAATAAATTGTTCCTGAATATTGGTTAAACACTGGAAAAATAGTTAGACAAATTTTAACATATATACCAACTACTACATAAGCTACTATGCAAGAAAAACTTCCTTATCAAATGAACTAACGAAACAATCTTACACCTTCTAGAATATTATGTCTGTAAGTAATGTATTATTTTTACTTCATTTGGGCAACATAAAGCATATGCTAGTGAATATAAAACATTTGATAATGCTAGCTGTAGATCTGCATCAGTCACTAAGTTCTTCTGTTCAGCCCAAGAAAACAAGTATCTTATTACTGCACAGCTGCACTTTCACAAAAGTGATTCCTACTACAAATGTTAATGCACTGCAGTGTTCCATGATAGTATAGCAGTTTACAATAAGTCTCCAAGAGATTAATTCTGTGGCAAACATTCTTCCCAGGCAGGAATTTCTGCTTGTTCACAGTCTGAGACACACAGAAAAGCTTATTTTAAGTTTCTGGACTCTACGTCATACAACTAAGAGACAAGTATGAATCTGAAATGACAAAGATGAGCTGAGGAAGTATGACAATGAGGGAATGCAGTGGAAGGAAGTGCAACAGAACTACGAAAAAGTCTGTACTTCTTGGGTATTCATGGGATATTCCAGTATTAAAGCAGACATTGGAAACAGAAAAAGCATTATTTGGAAAATACAATTTTAAAAGCCTTTGCAACAAATACTGAAAATAACCACAAAAAGAAGGCTAGCTGACAAGAACAAAAAATTCCACAGACAGCTAGTGGCAAATTCTTTGCTGCTGGCCATATCAGATCATTTCAGAACACTGAGCAAAAGTCAGGTAAATACTGTCTACTTTAGAGAAATTTATAGAAAATAAATGGGGGGGGG